TTTTATAAAATGGATTTTAATTAGAGCTTATCTTTTAAATTATGCTTTTATTCATTTATGTATTCTTTAGATTTTTGTCATTGTCTTTCATCTCTGTCTATTTCATGATTGCATTGTGTATTTTTTTTGTGATTTGAAAATGTGTTTTTGAAAAGTGATATACAAATACATTTTCTAATTATTATTATACAGTAATGATGATGATTAATATTATTACACAATAATAATAATTATTATAGTACAATATAAGTCTAAATTATCCAGAGCAACTGGGAAGTCCACTGACACAGTATGATAAAAAAAATAAAAATGTGACAGGCATAATTACCAGTTGTTGCTCAAGTGCAGCTGTAGTGATATCAGATGCAGGCCCTGAAGGTCGTGCAGTGGTCTGGAGAGAGGTGGGAGTTGGAATGACGGCTGAGCTGGTGGTGGCAGGTGATGGACCAGAGGATGGGTCCAGTAGCCCATCGGTTGGATCCAAACCAGAATCTTCAAAGCCCTCATCTTCCAACTCTTCCTCTGTGCCTACATTTTCCAGCATATTCTCAGTCTCCTCTGAGTCAGGTTGGACATCCTGCAAGGCCCTGCCTGTCTGGCGGTATAGATAATCTATACCTATTAGCTCCCCTGGGACAGACAAGAAAATAGAATAGAGGAAAATTTACTTTTCAGAAAATTCATAAGATCATTCTATTTTATTGATATAGAAAATAGCCTCCTGATGGAAAGCTTAAACTAACCAGTGTAAACAGCAGGTGGCTGAAAAGAGGGGACAAGCTTCCTTCCAAGCACCTTGATACTGTAGTTGTTGACACAGTGAACAAGGTCACCTGAGTAGCTAAGCAGTGATGGATCCCCGACTGCCAGAGATGCAGCTTCACGGTCCTGGTTCCATCTGTAAAGGCCCTCAAGGAGGTACAGCTGGAAATTCAGGCTGTTGGCACTGGTTCCTTAAGATAGTACAATTATGAACAATATTGTTAGATTAACTTATTGTGTTTGGTTCTTTGACAGACTGTGTCAGCGTTTCCAGGATAATAATAATAACAATAATTATAATGATAACAGAAAATAGCCTCCTGATGGAAAGCTTAAACTAACCAGTGTAAACAGCAGGTGGCTGAAAAGAGGGGACAAGCTTCCTTCCAAGCACCTTGACACTGTAGTTGTTGACACAGTGAACAAGGTCACCTGAGTAGCTAAGCAGCGATGTATCCCCGACTGCCAGAGATGCAGCTTCACGGTCCTGGTTCCATCTGTAAACGCCCTCAAGGAGGTACAGCTGGAAATTCAGGCTGTTGGCACTGGTTCCTTAAGATAGTACAATTATGAACAATATTGTTAGATTAACTTATTGTGTTTGGTTCTTTGACAGACTGTGTCAGCGTTTCCAGGATAATAATAATAACAATAATTATAATGATAACAATAACAATACTACTACTACTACTACTACTAATAATAATAATAATAATAAAATGTTTAACTGCAAATATGTCATCTTGCTGATAGATAAAAAGTGATTCATACTGACCTGGAATGAACCTGTTCAGATGCAAGTGGAATGATTCAAGTGATGTGGTCCCTCTTGCACATCTGTAGTTTGGTAAGACAATGCCCTCCTTGGTAGTGGTGCCAGTTACAGTGTACAGGAGGACACCTGGTTCATCCTGAATGCACTTCACATGCTTCTTCTGGATTTGCCAGATGTGCTGCATCCTCTCGTGGTCCAAGAGAGGGACACCAAGATAGTCTCTGCCCTTTACCCCCATGAGCTCATTAAGAAGCAGTTCAATCATTATGATCGTCTGCCGCTCCCCTCTTGTCTGCCTCCTGCAGTGCAACGCTAGTTCCTCCTTGGTGATCTGCTGGTCCACTAGTTGTTCAGTGATCCCAGGAACACCTTCTCGTTTCAACTGTTCCCTCTTAGCTTGACGCAGCAAGGCAACA